CAGGATGGTCTCAAACTTCTAACTTCGGGTGATCCACCTGCTTCAGCCTCCCAAAGTGCTGGGATTATAGGCGTGAGCCACGGCGCCTGGACTTTCTGCTTAGACTTTTAGAAATTCACCCACACAGTCCAGACACTAACCCTTTGTTCATCATATGGATCAAAGAGAGTTTCTCTGAACCAGCAGCTTATCTTTTTACTTTGCTTATGAAGACTCTTACCAAAATTAGTTTTTAAATTTTCATGTAATTAAAATTATCGATGCCATCTATGCTTTTTTGAATTATGCTCAACTTCTCTCCTGCTCCCACATGACACAATTGTTATATATTTTGGTTTCTGAGTTTCAAAGTTTTTATTTTTGACATGAGTCTTAAATCCATCTGGAATTAAAATATGGAATTTTTTCTTCCATGCAGTCAACTGTCACTGAATTATGGTTGTTTTTTTTTTTTTTTGAGACGGAGTTTCGCTCTTGTTACCCAGGCTGGAGTGCAATGGCGCGATCTCGGCTCACCGCAACCTCTGCCTCCTGGGTTCAGGCAATTCTTCTGCCTCAGCTTCCTGAGTAGCTGGGATTACAGACACGCACCACCATGCCTAGCTAATTTTTTGTATTTTTAGTAGAGACGGGGTTTCACCATGTTGACTAGGATGGTCTTGATCTCTTGACCTCGTGATCCGCCCACCTCGGCCTCCCAAAGTGCTGGGATTACAGGCTTGAGCCACCGCGCCCGGCCTACTGAATTATGTTTTAAAGAGTGTTTTTCCCATTAATTGACATATCTCACAGAAGACATTCCCGTAGATTTACATGTCCACCGACTGGTTGATTTCTGTCTGGCTTTGAAATTCTATTCCATTGGTCTGTTCATCCACTCATAATTTACTGCACTTTGAAGGCTGAGGTGGGAGGATCACTTGAACCCAAGAGTTCTAGACCAGCCAAGGCAGCACAGCAAGACAATATTTTAATTATGAGAGCATTACAATATATCTCGAGAGTTCTTCCTTCAAGCTTTTTTGGCTTTGCCCTTGATTATTCCATATGATTAAGCCATCTTCGCATTTCCGGAATAAACTATCTCCAAATAAAAAAAAAACTTCATAATCATCTGTGGGTTCAAGTTCCTAATATTAATAGTTAAGATTTACATAGTTCTGTTCAACAGTGAGATTAGCCTACATGTTGTCAAGGGTGTACTAGGTTAATAACATGAAGTGATGAGCAGTTTCTCTTTTTTACTTTCTGCAAGATTGATTTAATTAATTAATCAATCAGTTATTTAATTAGACAGGGTCTTGCTCCGTCACCCAGGCTGGAGTGCAGAGGCCTGATCTCAGCTCACTGCAACCTCCGCCTCCCAGGATCAAGTGATTCTCCTGCCTCAGCCTCTCAAGTAGCTGGGATTACAGGTGCCTGCCATGATGCCAAGCTAATTTTTGCATTTTTAGTAGAGACAGGGTTTTACCACATTGGCCAGGCTGGTCTTAATCTCCTGACCTCAGGCGATCCGCCCAGCTCGGCCTCCCAAAGTGCTGGGATGACAGGCATGAGCCACTGAGGCCAGCCCAGTTCCTGTGCTTTTATTTAAGATGGGGTCTTGTTCTGTCACCCAGGCTGGAGTGCAGTGGCAAGATCTCAGCTCTCTGCAACCTCCGTCTCCCAGGTTCAAGCGATTCTCCTGCTTCAGCTTCCCAAGTAGCTGGGACTACAGGCGCATGCCACCTTGCCTAATTTTGTATTTTTAGTAGAGACGGTTTTCTCCATGTGGGCCAGGCTGGTCTTGAACTCCTGACATCAGGTGATCCTCCTGCCTCAGCCTCCCAAAGTGCTGGGGTTACAGGTGTGAGCCACCAGGCATGGCCACATTTTTTTCTTATCAGTCTTGCCAGAGATTTGTCTATCATCAGTTTTCCCAAAGAAACAGATGTTTGTCTCCGTTCCCCTTTTCTCTTGCTTGTTTTCTGTGTCACTAATTCTCACTCTTTCACATGAGTTACGTAGGTCTAAGAACACTCTGGAAATACATACCCCAGACGGGTGATAGCACAACAGTCACCTCTGAGTAGGACACTGAACAGGGATGTGCTAGTGAAGGCAGACTGGGGTTTTCTTTTTTTTTTTTTGTAGCGATGGGGCGGTCTCACTTTGTTGCTCAGGCTGGTCTCAAACTTCTGGGCTCAGGTGATCCTCCCACTTTTCCCAAATGCCGGGATGACAGGTGTGAGCTACTCTGCTGGGTCTTGTCGGTTTTTTGCTTGTTTTTGGTTTTTGTTTTTTTGAGATGGAGTCTCTCTCTGTCTCCCAGGCTTGAGTGCAGTGGGGTGATCTCGGCTCACGGCAACCTCTGCCTCCCGGGTTCAAGCTGATTTGTGTGCCTCAGCCTCCTGAGTAGCTGGGATTGCAGGCACCTGCCACCACGCCTGGCTAATTTTTGTATTTTTAGTAGAGATGGGGTTTTGCCATGTTGGCCAGGCTGGTCCTGAACTCCTAAGTGCCAACCTCGGTCTCCCAAAGTGTTAGGATTACAGGCGTGAGCCACAGTGCCCAGCTGTCACTTTTTATTCAATAAAAAGTACTGTATTTTTTGAACTTCTGAAATGAGAGTATATCTGTGCATTTCTTATATAACTTCAAAAGCAGGAATTAAGAGCAGGGTAACTGTGGCACTGGAACGACCCAGTTCGGGTAACTCTAACTTAGAGAATGAGGTATTTACGCTGCTTTTCTCTGCGTCTGGGAGAGCTCTGATGGGACAGGAATAACCTGCTTCCTCCCAAGATCCGAAAATCTTAGTGTCATACTTTTTCTTTTTGAATCCAGACCTATTTGCACTGCAGTTTGGTTGAACTTAATCTCATAATGGATGTGGGAAACGACACCTCATGCACTGAGAAGGCGCCTGCCCCGCATGCCCTCTGACCTGAGCTCTCACCTGCTGCTGCTTGGGGTCACCCTCCGCAAAGACAGGGACTCGTGTATGTTCACCAGTGTTTCCCACACCCCCCAACAGCGCCCAGAACATGACAGGCGTTCAACAAAAATGTGGTGAACAGAACTGCCCGGCCCACGGCGGTGAAGGTTCGCCACGATTCGCCCTGGGACGTAACTGCAGCAGGCTGAGCCGTTCCCACATTCGGAAGTCTCCTGACTCCACCTGCCTCTAAGGTCACCATTCCACCGTGGTCCGGGCGTTCACCAAACTGAGCTGAGACAGCAGCGTCCTTTCTGCCCCGCGAGGCTCTGCCCGCTGCTGCTGCCACGCCGGGTCCCGGGATCTCTGTGGGGCTCCCTTCCTCTGGGGTAGGCAACTCCTCAAGCTGGTCTCTGGCACCCCTGTCTCTGCGCCCTTGGGTTCAGGGTGGCACCGATTCCTCCCTGCCCTTAACGATGTGCTCAAGCTTCACCCCGTCGGTGACACACACTGTGGTCTGTCAGTCGCCCCATCAGCGACACGCGCTGTGGTCTGTCGGTCACCCCGTCAGTGACACGCGCTGTGGTCTGTCGGTCACCCCGTCAGTGACACACACTGTGGTCTGTCGGTCACCCCGTTGGCGACACACGCTGTGGTCTGTCGGTCACCCCCTCAGTGACACGCGCTCTGGTCTGTCGGTCGCCCCGTCGGCGACACGCGCTCTGGTCTGTCGGTCACGCCGTCAGTGACACACACTCTGGTCTGTCGGTCGCCCCGTCGGTGACACGCGCTCTGGTCTGTCCATCGTGCAGTCTGAGTCTGAACCAGGTGCTGCCGCGTACAGCGGCGTCAGCTCAGCACGCAAATTCTCCCGGCCTGCAGCGTCTGCACCCTGGAAACGGGCTCGGTGACTGTGTCCACGTGCTGCGGCTGTCCTCAGGCCAGAGTGAGGACGTGTGCAGCTCAGCGGGAAAACGACAATGTGGGCCTGGAACTCGCCAGGCGGGAGCTGAAGCCACACGCGCCCCCCACGCTCCAAACACCAGGGCCGGGCCGGGCTGCCCCTCGTAGCCCCTCCTCCCTGCAGGCTGAGCACGCGGCCCCCTTGACCCAGCAGCACAGCCAGGCCGGGGACCGGCGGAGTGGTCCTAGCCCCTGGCCCTGCCCACGCCACGGATCCTTCTCTTCCCAAGTGACCTGACCTGCAGCTCACAGCCTGCCCCGGCCCTCACCGTAACCGGCGGATACCTTATTCACTAATAAACACGTTTTAATTTCAAATAATTAAACTAACAAACAGAAAAGTAGAAAGGTTTGAAAAGAATGATTTTCACCTTAAAAAGTAAGTAATTACTTAAAAAGCAACTGTAGATACATACGGGGCAATTATTGTACTCTCAAACTCAATAACGAATACATACATGAAACCAAGTGAGCCTCTCAGAGATTCTGTGACCAATACAAACTGCACTGTGGCACTCGATGGACACAGAAGCTGCCAACCGAGGAAGGGGTGAGCCAACCACATGGCCCCAGCTGCCCGCAAGTGCCAAGGCAGGGCACAAGGCCCCTGCCGGCCCAGGAGGGAGCAGCTGCTGCAGCTGGGACCCGCCACTCACGCGGGTTTCTCCTCTTCAACTCAACCGCAAAGACTTTTTTTTACTGCAAAAAGATTTTTGGCCAGGCACGTTGGCTCATGCCCATAATCCCAGCACTTTGGGAGGCCGAGGTGGGTGGATCACCTGAGGTCAGGACTTCAAGACCAGCCTGGCCAATGTGATGAAACCCCGTCTCTACTAAAAATACAAAATTAGCTGGGCATGTTGGCACGCACCTGTAATCCTAGCTGCTTGGGATGCTGAGGCAGGGGAATTGTTTGAACCTGGCAGGTGGTGAGCAGAGATCTGGCCACCGCACTCCAACTGGGGCGACAGAGCGAGACTCATCTCAAAAAAAAGGATTTTAACCTCAACGCCTAAACAATTCAACCACGCTTCAATTAACTCTTGATTTCTCAGGGACATCATTTTGGTAGCACCAGAAACAAGACAGTTAAGGCATTCAGCAGGAATTTTCAACATACCAGGTAGTATTCTTCCAACAAGAGCATCTAACAGCCAAAAAGATTCTTCTTCATTATTTGTGATGAGAATCAGATATCCTGCTATAAAATTCATTCCCTGAAATTAGAAAAAAGAGAAACAGAAATTCACATTGAGTTTACACAATTCTGCAATCATTCAGCTACGAACTACCCCATTTCAGTATCTCCTGCTCTCCCCTAAACCTGCATAATTCCAGAATGATCCTTTAGCAGGTTGCTAGAGTTGCTAAGTACCCACCGTCCAGTGATGTGTTTAGTCAAGGTTACATGAAGAAAAGAAAAAGCAAAAGGAAACAAAGAAATCCTGAACACTAAAACTAAAGACTCTTCCACTAATGGTAACCATGTGGCATAATAGAATTTACCATTGGTTTCTAAAGAAATTTTTATCTACCAATAGCATGAAACTGTCTATCAGAGATAAAACTACACCAATGACCACATTTTATAAAAACCGTAAGGAACACATTCTGACATTCGGGTGTTGGGAGAGTTTCGTGGTGGAGACCCTTTCAGGAAATCAATGCGCACACGTGTCAAAGGGCGGGTGCCGCCTGCAGACATCACGATGTGACCTTCTCCATCGAGGCAGCCCCAGCCCCTGGGGGCTTTGCAGCCCTGAGTCAGCACCATTTCCCGGCGACTACTGGGTTTTATGATTTAAACTCCCTCATTACTCATCTGTAATTTTTTTAAATTTTATTTTTTAAAATGTTTTGGTGCTGTGACTTGGATCGTAATTTCTAAAATACTATTTTTCTAGTAACAAGGGAAAAGAATCCAGCTTCAGTCACCAATTAACATGACAGGAAGCGTGGGGGGCAGCCCCAGAGCGCGATGCTGGAGCACCACAGTGGCTTCCGTGGCACACGGATGTGGCGCTGCTCTCCCGGAGCCAGAGCGCTCGTGGACACGCGCAGCCTTACATGACCTCTGACCTGGAACTCCCCTTAAAAACAGAGCCTAAGAGTTTGACTCAAAAACCAAAGTAACCAGTGCGGAGAAAATCATGTTCCGGAGAATGATGATGGAAGTGCTGGGAAGAACCGACCCCTTTGAGCTGATGACAGAAATGTGACAAAGACCTCTGTGGCCGAGCGGACCCCCTCGAGCCGACGATGCCACCGGTCCTGGGAGAGGGCCACTGTGTGGACACCATCAGCACAGGGAAATGCGGGTGGGTGACTGTCGTACAGAACACGGCCGGGCATGGTGAGGGATCCCAGCCCTGTGGGAGGTGGAGGGGAAGGATCGCCTCAGCTCCGGAGTTCAAGACCAGCCTGGGCAACGTGGCAAGACCCCAATCTCTACAAAATATACATAAACTACCCGGGCGTGGTGGTGCGTCTGTGGTCCCAACTCCTTGGGAGGCCCAGGTGGGAATCGCTTGAGCACAGGAGGTTGAGGCTGCAGTGAACCAAGATCGTGCCACTGCACTGCAGCCTGGGTGACAGAGCAGGACCCTGTCTCTAACCAAAAAAAAAAATAAAAACAAAAGCTAAAAAAGCAGAACACAAGATCCTACGTGCACTGCGTAACTCTATACGTCTGCTATGCACTGAACTTTGTCCCCGCCCCTAAATTCATCTGGTGAAGTCCTAACCCCCGTCCCTCAGGCTGGGACCCTTTGGGAAAAGGACTGTTGCAGATGTGGTTACAGATGGGGTCAGGGTGGTGCAGGTGGGCCTGACTCCGACAGCCTGGTGTCCCTGTCACCGGCGGGGCTCTGGACACAGGCACGCACAGGAGAACACACGTGGAGATGAAGGCAGAGACAAGCAGCGATGCCACCCGCCGGGGGGCACCCAGGACTGCCAGGACCCCGCAGAGCTGGAGCGAGGCCTGGGACAGTCCCTCCCTCACAGCCTGATTAAGAACCCGCCCCGGACGCGGTGACCTCGGCCACGCAGCCTCCAGAGCTGAGAGGATTTGTTTCCACTGTTTCCCAAACTAACAGGTGCACGTCGGTGCACAGTATGTACGTATCTGCCTGTAGGTTCCAAAAGCCACCTGAGCTCTGCCTTTCTGTTAGTATATAACACTGTGTTTTGTTTTTTAAGTACAGAGATGGGGTCTTGCTATCCTGCCCTGGCTGGTCTTGACCTCTTGGCCTCAAGCAAACAATCAAGGGCTTCCCAGGTGGGTGGTGATGTTTTGGTTTTTGGTTTTTTTGAGACAGGGTTTGCTGTGTTTCCCAGGCTGGAGTATAGTGGTGCAGGCTTGACCTCCTAGGCCCAGATGATCCTCCCACCTCAGCCCCCCAGTAGCTGGGACGACAGGCATGCGCCACCACACCTGGCTAATTGTTTTAGAGATGGGGTCTCATCACCTTGCCCAGGGTGGTGTTTGTATTTTAAATAAAGCTGTTTTTGGCAGGGCATGCTGGCTCACACCGATAATCCCAGCACTTTGGGAGGCCAAGGCAGGGGGATCACCTGAGGTCAGGAGTTCAAGATCACCCTGGCCAACATGGTGAAACCCCATCTCTACTAAAAATACAAAATTAGCCGGGTGTGGTGGCAAGTGCCTGTAATCCCAGCTACTAGGGAGGTTGAGGCAGGGGAATCATTTGAGCCCAGGTGGTGGAGACTGCAGTGAGCTGAGATCGCACCACTGAACTCCAGCCTGGGTGACAGAGCAAGACTCCGTCTCAAAACAAAATAGCTGGGTTTTTTTTGTTTGTTTGTTTGTTTTTTGAGACGGAGTTTCGCTCTTGTTGCCCAGGCTGGAGTGCAATGGCGCGATCTCGGCTCACCGCAACCTCCGCCTCCTGGGTTCAGGCAATTCTCCTGCCTCAGCCTCCTGAGTAGCTGGGATTACAGGCACGCGCCACCATGCCCAGCTAATTTTTTTTTTTTTTTGTATTTTTAGTAGAGACGGGGTTTCACCATGTTGACCAGGATGGTCTCGATCTCTTGACCTCGTGATCCACCCGCCTTGGCCTCCCAAAGTGCTGGGATTAAAGGCTTGAGCCACCGCGCCCAGCACAAAAAAGCTGTTTTAAGCAAAATGATGTAGAGCGTTTCTTGGCGGTTCTACTTCACCTCCAGAAGGCCAAATCCTTGCTCCTGGACAGTCATAAAAGCTGTGAGTGGCAGGAATCCTGTCTACAAAGGAGGGACCCTTCCAGCTTCACCTGAGGCGGCACTGCCTGCCCGCTGCAGAGCCACACACGCCAGCCCGAGGTGTGGCTGGTGCCGGTGGCAGTGTCCCGTGGCTCTGCTGCTGGCCTGTCATGGTGGCTGTCCTCACGCACGTCTGCCCTTTCACCCTCGGGAGCATTCACTCCGCCAGGGGCCAGGCCTGGGGCTGTCAGGCGGGGCTCAGAGTGCCAGTGGCCCACATTGCCGCAAAGGTTCACTCAAACTGCCTCTTCTGCAGGGTGCATGCCTGACTCCCGGCTCCCACGGGACGTTTCTGGAGGTGTCACTGGGACTGCCAGTGAAAACAATGTGATTTGTTTCACCGCCCATCAGGACGGGGTCCTTAACTGTCCTCCTGGAGACAAACCCCTAGGAACCTGTGAGGCACACGGCCTGGGTGCCAGAGCTCTCCACTTCCGGTGGCAGCCGTGGGCACGAGGCTCCCAGCCACGGGGACTCCCGGGCCGTGCGTGCACCTGGAAACGTCGTGGAGGCCGGTGCTGCCCTCGGCAGGCTCCGAGACTGGAGCAGCGCAAGGGCCAAAGGCCCGGACGGGACACACCCGGGCTGGGGGACTGTGCGGCTCCTGGCTGCCCCGCACTCCGGCCTGTCTCCTCCGCCAGTTACCAAGAACATCGCCCTTCACGTGCGCCCAGCTAGGCGGCCCCCCGAGGCGCGAGGACTCTCCCAGCCACACCTGCTTGTTCACACCACAGAACCAGCCACCTGGGGGGAGCAGTGTAGGCGGCAGACACGCCAGGAGTGGCCTCCGAGGACCACTCACACCCCATGCCACACGTGCCCCATAGACCAGCACACGCACCCACAGCACACACCCCACAGCACACATCCCACAGCACACACGCCCCATAGACCAGCACACGCACCCACAGCACACGCACCACAGCACACACCCCACAGCACACACATACCCAACACAAACACCCCACAGCACACACACAACATACACACCGCACAACACAAGCCCCCACAGCATACACCCCCAACACACACCCCACAGCACACACTCCACAACACACACCGAAACGACCTTAAACTCCCACACCCGCGGTCAGCTCCGCAAGCGACACATATGTACCCACCACGCATACACGCACAATCCAAGCACGCGCGATACTACGACAACAAGTCGACCCAAGCATAAACCCCACGCCACCCCCACACTCAGACGAATCCTCGCTATTCCTCCTACATCCCTAAGTCTATCTCGCTCATGAGGACATTCGTGATGATCATCTTCTTATGGTGTGTGGGTGTATGCGGGGGGTACGTGTCGAGGGGCGTGTGGGGGTATAGCGTGGGACATGGTGTTGTGGGGTGTGTGCTCTGGGGTGTGTGTGTTGTGGGGTCTGTGTGTGTTGTGGAGTGTGTGCTGTGGGGTGTGTGTTGGGGGTGTATGCTGTGGGGGCTTGTGTTGTGCGGTGTGTATGTTGTGTGTGTGCTGTGGGGTGTTTGTGTTGGGTATTGTGTGCGTGGGGTGTGTGCTGTGGGGTGTGTGCTGGGGGTGCGTGTGCTGGTCTATTGGGGCGTGTGTGCTGTGGGGTGTGTGCTGTGGGGTGTGTGCTGTGGGTGCGTGTGCTGGTCTATGGGGCACGTGTGGCATGGGTGTGAGTGGTCCTCGGAGGCCACTCCTGGCGTGTCTGCCGCCTACACTGCTCCCCCCAGGTGGCTGGTGTCTGTGGTCGTGAACAAGCAGGTGTGGCTGGGAGTAGTCCTCGCGCCTCGGGGGGCCGCCTAGCTGGGGCGCACGTGAAGGGCGATGTTTTTGGTAACTGGGCGGAGGAGACAGGCCGGAGTGCGGGGCAGCCAGGAGCCGCACAGTCCCCCAGCCCGGGTGTGTCCCGTCCTGGGCCTTTTGGCCCTTGCGCTGCTTCCAGTCCTCGGAGCCTGCCGAGGGCAGCACCGGCCTCACACGACG